ATGGCAGGATAAAGCCATAAGGGAGCTAACAGACACTGTGAGAGAGCTGAAGGATCAAATCAAAGAGCTCCATGGGAAAGCCAACCAAGTACCACTCCGAATCAAGGACGTCCTAAATGATGAAGCATCTACTCTGGTCAGCAAAAAGGGGAGTGAATTCACTTCAGAATGGTCTATAGAAGAAGACTATCCAGTTGATCAACAAGAAGCTTACTATGAGAAAAGGGCCATTGAGTACTCAACTGCAGATTTGTCAAGCGAGCATGCTAAGTTTGATGATTCATCCATCCGGGTGACAGAGGAGACCTCATTTCCTCTCTACAACCCACCCTAAGCTTATTCAGTGTGAGAATTCAAGCTAAAGACTTTAAACAAGCTCACTTGGGAGGAATTCCCATGTTTATCTCTGTAAATATTGCTTTATTTCTTGTTATTTTTAATGTGTTTCTTTAGTATTTTTGATTTACAGGCAAAAAGAGGAAGGTTTTGGTTCAGGAAAAGCTCAGGAAAATTTTTCTGCAGAAACGGTATAGTACTCGAGTACTGTACTCGAACAAGCCACTCGAGCAGCAACCAGAGCACCAATTCGAGCAACCAGAGTAGCAACCAGATCACACTGTTCTGAGCTCATCCTAGCCAGTACCTTGGAGCTACACGAGTGAGAGCATGGATGACTATGTCTCTGCTTTCTTCACCTAGGCCAGGTAAGGACTCCACTACACCATTGTTTATACCATCTTTCATTTTGTTTCTCTGTTGGTTTGCCCTGAGTACTCTCTTCCAAGCTTTTGTTACACAGAGGACTGTGTAATTTAAGTTTGGGGGAGGGCTCAGGGAGTATTTGACATTGTGTTTTCTGTTCTTATTTCAAATTTTGCATCATATAATCTGCATTGCATCTAATGCATAGAAAAATCATAAAAATTTGAAAATTTTCGAAAATTGTTTCACAAAAATAGAGTGTTCATATAGCTTGCATTGTCATTTTAGGATTGTTTTAGTATGCTTTCACTTAGGACTGGTGCATCATGCATTTGCATTGGAGATTATGATGATTATATCCTTGTAAATATGCATATTCACTAAGTAGATTCACTGCCCAGGTTGTTAGTTCTCTAATGCATAATCGATTGAACTTGAAGTAAGACCGCACCATCTTTTGAATTCAACGCTTGATTTTCTTGTTCTTAGTCGAAACTCGCTTTGATCTAATGCCATTCCCTATCAATTTGAACTTGAATTTTGACTTACAATTATCATGTTGTGCATTGTGCTATTAACTCATGGATACCTTAAAATACTTGGACTATCTTTTATCTTTTGATCACTCTTGCTAGTCCAAGTAGCTGACTCCCATCTTTGGAGCAGTTATTCCTTACCCTAAGCCTTAATCTTCTTTGAAGCCATTTATCATTTGTGTGTGACTGTGAGGCCTTATTTCGATTGAGCTTGGTAGAAAGTGTTAGGTCTGTACCGACAAGGATAGTATCTCATGTAGTTCTAGTTCATGTTATCTGGACTAGATAGGATTAGGTGGGTGCTTAATTCTGGGTTTGGGATGTTCTTAAAAGAAAGAAAAGGTTGTGATCATCACTGAAAGAAAAGAAAAGGGAAATGAGTCCTTAGGAGAAGTAGCTAAAGTAAGAAAAGTCTAGTAAAGGATTTGGGTGTGCTAAAGTAAAGAAAAGGGTTCTGCAAATAGCTTAAAGAGAATGGGCAAAAGCCTTGCGTTTATTAAAAGAAAGAAAAGGGAACCCTAGTTGTTAAAGAATCCTGATCCGCTAGACAGAGCAAAGTAAGAAAGCTTCTCCTAGGATAGAAAAGCAAAGAAAAGGAAGGGACGATGTGAGTAAAAGTCTGTAAATGCTTTGAGTGCAAAAGGGTAGAGTTAAGTTCATGTTCTGGGATTAGAAATAGGACCTCCATTGGCTTGATATTGATTACATTCTGGGTAGATGGGGTCCTATCCTTGTATGCATAACTTGATACTCACCTTTAGCATTCTACTAAAGCTCAATCATTCTTGAGAGATCCCTTGTTGCGATTTAAACCAGATCTTTAAGGGACCATCTTTGTCTCTAGACCTCTACTGTTAAGCCAAATGTGTTCTTATCCAATGCATAGTATGATTCACGGTTCCTACTTAATCAATGTTAAAGGGAATGTACTGATTTGAATGCTTGAATTGATTAAGGCAGAAGTTAGGTTGAGATGTGAAGGAGATGGCTAAAGTTTTAAAGTAGAGATCAGTCAACCTTGCATTCTAGAATTAGCAACCTGGACATTGAGTTCACTTACTTTATATGCATGTTTTGGTTCTGAGTCCCCACTTTCAAACCTCTCTTCCAGCTTGATCTTTATTGTTTGCTTGTGGGCAAGCAAAGAATAAGTTTGGGGGAGTTGATATGTCTATATTTTACTAGTTTTTACCATGCATTTACATCTCATTTAGTCTAGTTTCATGTCTTTAAAACTTAGTTTGCATCATTTAGCTTCACTTTCAGCATTTAGGATCATTCTACATCTCTGTTGCATACATTCTTGCATTTTGGAGTTGTATGAGGTGTTTTTAGGTACTAAAGGGCTGTGGAGGAGTATGTACTCGAGTACCCACTCGAGTACCTACTCGAGTTCACCTGATAGCATCACCAGAGCAGACTGTATGAAGAATAGAACAACCTACTCGAGTACCTACTCGAACAGGACCTGAGAGACTTACCCGAGCAAGATGCAACCTTTGAAGAATAGACTACTCGACCAAGCCACTCGAGTACCAACTCGAGTAGACCTTAAACCGACTTTCTATTTTGTCGTTTTGTGTACTAGGGTTTTCTACTTTTGCTATAAATAGACCTCTTAGGGCTTTGCCCAAAGGATCTCGCTTTTAGCCTCTGAGCAATATTTTCTGCAAACTTTTGTAATCCAAATTACTTTTGATCCTTTGAGTTTTTGCAATAATTTCCTTCTGCAAAGTTGTTTATCTTGCTTTGATCTATAACATATGAAGTTTTTAGCGATTTCTGGGTTTGTGCAATTTTCTGGGTTTGTGTTCTTGAGCATGTCTGAGTAGTGGATTAGGGTTCTTGAGGATGGGATAGATTAGGTGTGGAATCCTTAGTTTATTTAGGTGGTTAAGTGTAGAATTGCTTGAATCCCTTCTGGATTAGTAGTACTTAGTGCTTATTCCTTTCTGATCAACTGGGATTTGAACCCAGACATTTCCACACCCACCAGGTGTTCGATGAAATGTCTGAACCAACTATTCCAGAGATTTACATACTCTAGCCCAAGAGATTGGATGTTTAGAATGTTTATTGACTATATTAGATTGAATCTTATTGCCTGCTTTGCTAGATTTCGCTAATAATGATTAGGTCTGGAACTGGTATTACTTGAGGATCTCTGTCATGAGAGTGAATTGGTCTGTAGTTGAATCTATTGTCTAGGGATAGCATGTTTGGATTGTTAACCACCTAAATAGATTAAGGAGACTGCTATAATCGATTACCCTATCCTCAGGACCTTTTATCTCATTTGATTTACTTGTCTCTTTACCTGTTGCTTAACTGTTGCTTATTGCTGCTTAGTATTGATAATTCTTTCTCTTTATGCATGATCACTCATGTTCTGTAGTTTTATCGTTTATGCATGATCGCTTAGGATTGTTAGATAACAAAACAATATCATGCCTGGCTTGACTTAGTTGTTTCTGAGCATATCTTGATTGATAGTGAGAGCACCTGATTGGATTGATAACCTCTTATGCTGCAATGACATGAAAGTATATTAGGGTAATTGATAGTAAAAAAAATCTTAGTATCACTTATCCAATTGATTTATCTGTTTACTTACTTGATTCATTCACCTTCTCTATTATTTGCTATTGAGTTTTGATACATGCTGTTTAAGTTTTTAACAATTTTACTCTGTGACCACTGGTTTACTCGTTCACACCCTCTCTTCTGGCAGTGAGCCTTGTGATCGAATATAGCAATCCATTTCTGCAAATTTATTGTTTTCTACACCAATCACTAGGACTGTTAGGAAAACAATCATATTCTGCTTGGCTTGACTTAGTGCTTTCTGATCATATCTCATTTGTTTGTATCACACCTGATTGGATTGACACCTAAAATACTACAACGACACGATAGTGTTTTAGGATTAATTGATATCTTAAAAACCTATTATCAGGCTTTATTGAGCTCATTTTGTGCCAAGTCCATTTCAAAATTGGGTAATTTGAAAAAAAAAACTTAAACCAAGTGGTTCTTCATTCTATTTCTCTCTCTCTCTCTCTCGTTGCCGCACTTGCTTTTGCTTTGCTTTTCCACCGGTAACTAACTGAAACACTATATCTTATCTCTTTTCTTTGTTTCTAATAACCTTTGTATCCTATGTTTTGTTCTTTTTTTTCTCCCGATAAATTTTTTGGATGTGTAATTTTTAACATCTTTGATTTATAAACTTATATCGATTCTTAGTTTTATTTTGTTAACATACCTCATGCGAATTTATGGTGTGACTGATGATTATTAGGTTAAGAATCGTGAAGGTTAGAATAGTGAATCTTTAGTTATACTGTTTATATTTTTTTTTCTGTTCATAAACGATTTAAATTTTTTATTTGGAACTAATTTGGATGCAAATTAATTTGATCTTTCATTCCATGTCTTAATGACTAATCTCAAATTAGTTATCTATAATCCGAATAATATAAACCTTAAAATCTGTGTTTGACTATAGATTTTGTAAATTCGGATTATATAAACCTTAAAATATGTGTGTTGATTATAGATTTTGTAACGTTTGGACTAAGCTAATTTTAATGAATCGTTTTATATCAACTAAAAAAGGCAATTTGTGTGATAATCTAGTGAAATTTTGGACATTTTTCAAAAATAGACTACAAAAACAATAATATAGAGATATCTCAAAGTTTTGGGGCTATGTGTTATTTTCTTAAAAGTATAATGGTCAATTAGATAATATATAATAAAAATTAAAAAGAGGTTCCCTTCCTCAAACGCTTATCATCGTCAATCGACGCCGTATATTGTTGTAGACAGTTCCATCAACTAGGGTTTTCGTCGGCCGGAATTTCCAGGTGAACTCTCTCTCTTCTTCCTCCACTTATTCGTCTCTCTTCAGTTTCCGATATAGTTTCGATGTTTTCTTGTTCAAAACCCTAACTTTATCTCGTGAGATACGATTACGAATTGATTGAAATTTTGCCCTTTTTAACATAGGCGTATCATGAATCTAGAACAAAGGCAATTTAGAGTAATGGCAGAGACGAAACCATTGCTTGTGTAGGCGTAGAATCTCTGTCTCGAGTTAAAGTGTGGTTTTATTGAACCTTTGCTCGTTTCTTGTTTGTCTTGGTGTGTTTTAGTTGTTTGCAACTTAGAAGATGGAATCTCTGTTTTGGGTTGAAATGCAGTTTGAATGTTTGATTGAGCCTTTGTCATCCCTAAATAAAGTTTCTTTTTTTTTAATCTGTGTTTTGGGTCACTACCATATTGTTAGAACCTAAGATCTTATCAGCTGTTTAGAACTAGGAAGATGGCTTGTGTGGGATTAAAATATATGTCACAAGCTAAAATGTAGTTTGATTGAACCTTTGCAATACGCAAATAAAGTTTGCTTTTTGTTTGAATCTGTGTTTTTGTTCGGTATTGATCTTATCAGCTGTTTGGAAGTAAGAAGATGCATAGTGGATGACCAGAATCTCTGTCTCAAGTTAATATGTGATTCGATTTATTTGTTACAATCCATAAATAAAACTTGCTTTTTGTTCGATTTTGTGTTTGACTCAGAATTGTTAGAATCTATGATCTTATCAGCTGTTTGGAACTGGGAATATGGATTGTGTTGGACTATAATCTAATTTATTGAACCTTTGTGATCTGTGAATTGCACTGGGGCGCATTCATTCGTTAACGCGTATGTTCTTCTCGACTATTTCCAGATAACCAAGGTCAAAGACTTTGCGGGTCAAGAAATCGAACAGTTTGAGAAAGAGAAGACGATCGCTTAGCTCTTCAGTCCAAAGAACAAAGGCAGTTTAGAGTTATGGCAGAGACTAAACCATTGATTGGTCTAAAATGGGAACCAAAGCTTCCAGGCTTATCCTTAGACTCGACAACTGGTTCCAGTTTAAGCAAAAGAGCTGAGAGTCATGAAAGCAGTTCGCTCTGGATGTCTAAGTCAGAGCTTGTCGATGGTCTTTGTCTTCCACCTAATGATCCAAAGAAGATTAACAAGATGATTAGGAAACAAGTCAAAGATACCACTGGTTCAAACTGGTAACTTTTCTTTCCTCGCTACTCAGATTATATTTACCCTTTTTGTTTGATTCCGAGATACATTGTGTTGCAACTGTGGATAGGTTTGATATGCCTGCACCAACAATGACTCCTGAGTTAAAAAGAGATCTTCAGTTGCTTAAGGTAATTGATTCTTTGTTTTGTTCTTATTGTTGTAGTTGTTTTTGGTTTCAAAGTCCTAACATCATTCTAATTGTATCTCTATTGTAGTTGAGAACTGTAATGGATCCTGCTCTACACTACAAGAAATCTGTGTCACGGTCAAAACTAGCTGAAAAATATTTCCAGGCAAGTTTCAGAACAGTAAACTAGATCAAAGACTAACCTTTTGTCTCGGCTTCTGTCTTAACACCAATTTTCTGTTGTTTCCTTTGTGTTAAAAAACAGATTGGAACAGTAATTGAACCAGCTGAAGAGTTCTATGGAAGATTAACAAAGAAGAATAGAAAAGCAACTCTTGCTGATGAGTTGGTGTCAGATCCCAAAACTTCTCAGTACAGGTTAGTTACCACCATTGTGTATTAAGAAACAATGTGGAGGCAGTGCTTAGATTCTGTATTACAAACATAAACAAGAGCATGTCTTTTTAGGCTAACTGATTGAATAACCTTTAGTTTGTGATACGTCGAGTTAAAATTCATCTAAATCTAGACTTGTTAATGGAATTGGACCTATGATAAGTTTTCAGCCCTTGTCCTGGTGTGTATAAGTGTGTGGTATCTATTCAAATAACAAAAACTTTTGTCTTGAGAATTGAGATGTTGTAGCTAAGATCATGCGTGCAATCTTTGCTAAGAAAATGTGTTTGTGTTGGTTATGGTTTTCTAGGAAGCGTAAAGTTAAGGAGATTGAGGAGAAGAGTAGAGCTGTTACAAATAAGAAGTGGAAGAAAAAGGGAAACCAGTCCAAGAACAAAAAGCAAAGAAGGAACTGATTTACTTTTGTTGGAATATGATCATAGTTTGGGATACATTTTTCTGTTTTGATTAGAATATTGATCATAGTGTCGTGACACACTTTCTTTTGGTGCTATAGATTCACATTACCTTGTAATGACTGTTGTTGTTTTATGGGCTTCGTTTAAAGGATTTGTGTTATCCGTTAACCGATAATATTTATTTTGAAACTGGTTCTTATGTCACGTTGCCAAACCAAACCATGTCTAGTTTTATGGGATACTCACTGGGAAAATGGTTCCAGCAAGACTGATTGCTGCAGAATTGCAGGATCCAATCTCGAGAGCACCAGTGTTTACTTTCAGGCAATGCTTAAGTTTCTTTATCTTTCGTTATGCAATTTACTTTGTTTTGATCATTAAATTTGGCTATATCCGGTTTGTGTGTAAACCAGTCAATCGTTCTTTTGTCTATGTTAAGGCCTCACAGAGTCACAGCAGCAATCCTAGAAAGCCATCAGCAATATTTTCCTCATTATCAATCTCTCTTCACTAGTACAACGCCATCGTCATCTCCATCACTCATTTATAAACTAAAAAGTTGCATGTTATTAAATATGAAAAAGAAAGAAAGATTAGAGACAAACTTGGCTCTGATTGGTCATTTTCAGGTAAAGGTTTTTGATGGAAAATGCTTGATCTACTAGCTCCAGAGATTTTCGTCTCTTAGTTCCAGACAAACTTGGCTCTGATTGGTTTGCTCTTTCAACAAAAGTGAACTGTATAGTTGCAAATTTGAATCTCTTTTTCGATTAGTGTCATTCTCCTAATATACATGTGATGGTATTTTACGAAAGAAGGTATACTTTTCTTTCAAAAAAAAAATCACACAAAAGAAAAATCTTGGAAATTAAGACTCCGAATGGTGATAGCGGATCGAGTAATGTGGTTTAAGTGTAGTTTTTTTTTTTTTTTTTGTCAACCACACATTAATTATTAAAAAACTCCTTGATTGGTTGCCCAATTAGGAGGAGTAGTGTTTACAAAAGTAACTTCGGAAAATAAAAGTCTAGAAGAACGGGCTAAGCAGTCCGCTTTAACATTACATAAACGAGGAATAAGAGAAAGCGAGAATAAGGGGAAAGAGTCACGGAGCAGTCCAAAAGCATCTAGCAGATTAGAGAAAGCGGGCCATTCTTCAGGTGATTGTACCATCGAGACTAACTCTGAACAATCTGTTTCAAACGCCTGACAATCAATCCTTCTTGAAAAGACATTCTTCATGGCCCAAATTAACGCTTCCATCTCCGAGTGAAGGGGGGAGGGGGATCCCGGAGGCACTTTGCACCAAGGAGTATCGTTTGATCATTTCCTTGAAAACACCACCATCCTATACCCATAGTTGGATCCGAAGATTTCCAAGAGCCATCAATCCGACATCTTATAGATTGGATAGGGCTTTCCAAAATTTCCGTATCAATACTAGTTTCGATCGGTTCCAACTGAGCATCTTCCCACATTAATTTCTCGTTCAAAGCGTGATTTAAAATATCTGTGGGATCAGATTGAATTCCTTTGAAAACTTTTTTATTCCGGTCTTTCCAAATGAACCAAAAAATCCAAGCAAAACAATTGGTTCTTTCTCCCCCATCTAGAGGAGGTGGTAACCTCCAATAAAGATAATCTAGGTTTAAGTGTAGTTTGTTAAAAAGAAATGCATTTAGCGGGACAAGTGCGGTTAGTATAGAATAAGCGGTACAAATCAATGTTTGAATGATGATTAAAATAGTAAAGTGCGGATATAATAATTATCAAATTTGGCCTAATTTTTTTTTTTTTTTAGTATTTCGGATAATCAAATTATTTTTAAAAAAACTAAAATTGAACTGTCTCATGAAATTAACTCTATCATATTTTTCTTTGGATTTAAATAAATCTACATACAACGTTTCTTTATAAAAATGAACTCTTACAATTTTTTATTATTTTGTCTTGAACGCACAAATGTAAAACGCTTATCAAATATTTTCTTGAATAGAGACATTTTAATAAAAACCATTATTATCAGGAACCGGCGAACCGCCCATCTACTACCTTGGACTAGTGTCTCTCATCTTTACCCCATGGAGATCCTAAACCCCATCAAAGACGAGATCCTAAACTTCTTGTGTGGTCTCACATTCGGAGTTCTTCACCAAGTGTTCATTACTAGTTAAGGAAGAACCCTGACTTCTTTATATTACTACCTTTCAAGATCAATAAAGATGTTAATCCAACCAAAGTAAGCCATCCGGAAATGAATCCAGACCACTACAACCTTGCTCTCGAAGAAGTTGATCAACTCCAAAAATAAGACCCCAAGGAGAAGATCACTTCAAAGTGGGCATGTGAAGCTTTCTACGTCAACAAAAGAGCTGAACAAGTATGAGGGAAACTAAGGTTAGTCATTAACTACTAGCCGCTCAACCACTTCCTTGTAGACGACAAGTTTCCTTTACCAAAGCAAGAAGTTCTATTCCAAAGACTTCCTCAAGCACTAGTCTTCTCCAAATTTGACTTAAAAGTAGGATTTTGGCAACTTGAAATCAAACCAGAAGACAGACCAAAGACGGGTTTTTTTGCATACCAGATCGACATTACCATTGGAAGGTCATGCCCTTCGGATCTCCAACCTATAATTAGACTTCCAAAACCATTTCAAGATTGCTATTTGTTATTTTTAAAAGTGTTGGGGCTAGCCCTGGGCATAAAAACCGAACCCGAAAAACCGAACCGAACCGAACCGAAAATATCAGAAATTTTCGGTTTCGAGTATTGCTAAATAACCGAATGGTTCTCATCTCAACTATCCATGGATATCGGTTATTAACCGAACCGAACCGATATCCATGGATATCCATTTTAAACCAAACACATTTCACTAGTCTTTGTCTTCTCCCGAGTCCCGATCCCCAAATCACAAACACGAAACCCTAATTTTCATTCACCACTCATCACCTCCAAATCCATTCATCAATCATCATTTTCGGTTCTTTACTTCATCAATTCATCATCTTCGGTTTATCACAAAGGACTTGAAGATGCTTGTAGAATCTAATAATCTATACTCTAATCTCTCTTTCTCTCTTTGTTTCTTTCTCAAGTCTCTTTTGAACTTGATTATTTTGTTGCGGTTTCAACTCTTAAGTCTTTTTGAAGTTCGAACTTTGTTATTTTGTTGCGGATTTGGATTTTGGAACTCTAGGATATTGTTAGTTTGTTATGGATCTCTCTAGACTGAACTGTGTAGACTCTTTTTTTGGATTTGCAACTTGAATTATTGCATTTTGAAGCTTTTGGTTCATATTTGCATACATTATTAGTATTACCATCTGTTTTTAATCGGGTAATGGTTCGGTTATATGGATAGTTTGGTTATTTGGTGGGTAAATATCCGAACCGAACCATATTCGAAGGTATTTCGGTAATATTATGGTTCTCTTCTCAAGTATCCAAACCGAACCGAACCGAAAGCTAACCGATCCGAACCGAACCGAAAACAGTTCGGTTCTCTTATGGTTCCCAAATGCTTAGAACCGAATAACCGAAAAATCGAATAACCGAACCGAACCGAACCGAACCGAACCGAACAACCGAACGCCCAGGGCTAGTTGGGGCTATATTTTATTTGTTTTAAAGTAGAGTAGTGAATTAGATAATATAAGAAAAAGGTTCCTTCCTCAAACGCTCATCGCGTCGATTGTTGCAGACAGTTCCATCAATTAGGGTTTTCGTCGGCCGGAAGTTCCAGGTGAACTGTCCCTCTTCCTCCTCCACTTATTCGTCTCTCTTCAATCTCCGATATAGTTTCGATTTTTTCTTGTTCAAAACCCTAACTTTATTTCGTGAGATACGAATACCAATTCATCGAAATTTTGCCACTTTTAACAGAGGCGTATCTTGAATCTAGACATGGGGTCTCATGAGCAATCGCCAGAAAAAAGTAGTTCGAGCACTGTGTCTAAGAAAGTTGCGGAGATTTGGCAGCGAATGAACGAAGGAGTTCCAAATAAACGGCTCAATTTTGCCTCAACCGCTTTGCCCGCTAAAAAATCAGCTAATAGCGTGAGATTTTATCCACTCTCTCTGCGTTTTGATTCTTTTGTTACGTGTATGTTTTGGGATTTTGAATGTTTTCTTGTTTTTGTTTTATTTGCAGAATTGGAAAAGTTATCTTGGTGTGGGTGCAAAAAGGAAGGATCATTGCGTTTCGAATGTACAAAAGGAAGATAGCCTTTTGAATCATAGTTGTAGTGGGGAGGCTAAAAGTATTGCTGCAGCTGCTTTAGCTGCGGTGAGAAATGCAACTGTAACGGCTGCAGCTGCATCGAGCCGGGGCAAGATTGAGGTTAGAAAAGCTACCTTTTTGGTTTGAATTTCTGTGTTTGGCTTTGTATTGTTAGAATATAAGATCTTATCAGCTGTTTTGGAACTAGGAAGATAGACTGTGTAGGAGTAGGATCTCTGTCTCGAGTTAAAATGTGGTTTGATTGAACCTTTGCGATCCACAAATAAAGCTCGTTTCTTTTTTGAGTTTGTTTTTGGCTCGGAATTGTTAGAATCTTAGGTCTAATCAGTTGTTTGGAACTAAGAAAATGGATTGTGGATGACTGGAAGCTCTGTTTTTAGTTGAAATGCAGTTTGATTGAACTAAGAAAATGCTTTTTGTTTTGGATCGGTATCATATCGTTAGAATCTAAGATCTTCAAATCTATGTCTCAAGATAAAACGTAGTTTGACTGAATCTTTGAGATACGAAAATAAAGCTTGCTTTTTGTTCGAATCTGTTATTTAGCTTGGTATTGTATTGTTAGAACTTAGAATCTTAGATCTTATCAGCTGTTTGGAAGTAAGAAGATGGATTGTGGATGACTAAAATCTCTAGTCTCAAGTTAATATGTGGTTTGATTGATTCGCTGCAATCCATGAATAAAGCTTGCTTTTTGTTTGAGTTTGTGTTTTGGCTCGGAATTGTTAGAATCTATGATATTATAACCTGTTTGGAACTAGGAATAATGCAGACGTACTTCTCAATTATTTCCAGATAACTGAGGTCAAAGACTTTGCGGGTCAAGAAATCGAAGTAAGGCGGTTAGTTGAAGCGGATTCAAAGGAAGCATTGGAGCGGGGAAACAAAGGCTCCTCTTCTTCCTCGGCAGCGCCTTCAGCGGTTGATGCTGTTCTTGAGCAGATAAAAAAGAAACAAAAGCTGAGTGTTTTGGACAAGACGAAGAAAGATTGGGGAGAGTACAAGGAGGAAAACAAAGGAGTTGAAGACGAGCTAGATAAGTACAAGAAAAGCTCGGATCAGTATCTCGACAAAGTTGGTTTCTTGGAGAGAGCTGATTACAGACAGTTTGAGAAAGAGAGAGACGCTCGTTTAGCTCTTCAGTCCAAGAGAAGACACGATGATGTATGAAATGTGCCCGACGACTCTTTTAACATGTAAGAAATCATTTTCTCAAGTGATTTTGGTCACATTCTTTCCAGAGTCTTAACCGAGTGCCCGTTGCTTGATTGATTGATTGTTTTTATGACTCTCCGACTCAGATGTTCATAAGAATTGAAAACATCCTCTCTTGTAGGCCATGGACTGTGAAATGGGCTTGCACTGCGACTTAAGCCCAACTTTTGAAGCTCACGTTTCTATTTCAACCCAATTATGAAATGAAACATCATTTCATTTGTGATTGCAATCTTCTCGTTCTTCTGATCTTGTTATATTGATGAAAACCTTAACGCTGCTCCTGTAGATAGTTTATTTTCCAACGGTGCTCATTTGAGCTAGATTCTGAAATATCATAAATCGTGTTGGACCACAAAAAATTAGCAAACTCCGTATTTAGGTCTGAAAGAAGACAGTGAGACTAATTGTTATGATAATATGGACTTTCAACTGTATGGCATTTGAATATTTTTAGGGAAATTAGATATAAAGGATATCTACTACACTTTTTGTTCAAATATACCTTGTTTTGGTTAATTGGTCATATAGGTTTTTTAAAATTCAAAACCCAAATTTACCCTCATTTTCTTTCAAATTTCATTAAAAAAAACTTCCTAGTTTATTTACAAAATTGAAATAGAAATCTAAAATCATTAAAACCTCCAATTAAGAAAGAGTCTCCCGAGACCTAATAAAAACGTTTTTTTTTTTTTCGGTAGAATGACACAAATTGGGGGGAAAATACACCTACACTCTCTCTGAATTGAGGCCGCCGACGATAGCTCCGCCGTTTGTGTGTTCGGTAGCATGGAGTATAATAGGAAACAAATCCGTGGAAGATGAATGCAAAACTTGTGGAGTAGGGAAGAAGAAAGACAAACGAGTAGCGTAAAACACAACTCGATGGGGGCTTAGGGTTTAGATGATTTAGTTTTAAAATTTTCTAAAAAAATTAGACAACGATTTCTAATTTCTGTAGATCGTAATATAAAAAAAATTAAATTCTATTTAAAACATATTCTAAAATAATATTTAGTTTCCTTTTTTAAAGATTTACTTTTTATATTTAGAGAATTCTAAAACATTCAGAAAATGAAATCTACATTCTAAAAAAAGATTACAATTTTTAACGATAGCAGAACATGTAGTAATTAGTAAAATAGATATTTTTTAAAAATTGAACATAGAGAAAAGCGTAGAATGCATGTTCCAAATATTTTAGAAATTTGATATTCAGACTTCTAAAGTTTTTAGAACGGAAAAGAAGTATTAAATTCGTAGAACATGTACAAAAATGTATAATACACACTCTTACTTTCGTAGAACTCTTGGAAAATGTATTCTAACAAAATTATGCGAAACTTTATCTATAAAAAACAGTTTATTTAACAAAAAAAAAATTTCACTTCAAATCATCTATATTCTTGAAAATCTACATGTTTTTTCTAGTTATATTTAAAAAAAACTACTTAAAATTGGGTGTAGGGGTAGTTTAGTCCTAAGTGAAGATTTCACCAAAAAAGTATATTTGGACAAAAATGTGGTAGACATCCTTTATATCTAATTTTCCAAATATTAATACCTAAAAATATCACTAACTAGAGAATAACCCGCGGTACACCGCGAGACTATATTTTTAAAAACTAATCGAGATGTGTTTAAAAAAAAAAAAATTTTAAGTTGTATTTGTTTTTTTAGTATTGTTTTTTTTGTTTAGTGTTTAAGATTGTATAATTGTATTTTGATTGTTAATTCTACGATTTCACCCGTAGTATATCGTCCCGTATTAATATTGATCCAAACCCGTCCCACCATATAACTCTGTCAGGTAAAATTAAATATCGTTTTGTTATTTTCTTTATAATAATATTTTTTTTAAAAAATATATAATTAGAGTAAATTTAAAATTTTGTTTTAAATGGATTTCATAATATCTATATATTTTTAACAGTGTTCTAAAAAGCGGTCTAGGCGGTCACCTAAGCCCAGACTAGGCGCTAGGCTCTCATGCCAGACCTAGATAACCGCTTTGACCGCCTAAAATTACATAGATTTTGTTTAATGTATTTTTTCAATATCAATTAAGTTTTATTTATATATCTATAGTTAGAAATATTCATATATTGTTTAATATAAATATAAATAATGTTTTATCTAGTTTTTGTTTATAATTTCATAATTTTTTGTTTTAGAAAGATATTTTATATAACTTTTATATATAATATCATATGTATAATTTTTATGTTAGAAACGTCTAAACCGCATAAAAATCGCTAGGCCCCGATTAGGCGTTCTAGGCGCTAGGAACTAGGTCACCGCCCGCTTAGCGCCTAGCGCTTTCTTGAACATTGGTTTTTAATTGTTAAATAATTTCAAATATTATTAACATTATAAACTTTTTATTTATGAATTTAAATATTATAAATATTTTAAACGTTGGATACTATTTAGATTTTTTGTATAGAGATTTTTTAACTAATTAGATTCCTTAAACAATAAATCTTTATTTGTATCCTTAATCTCATTTTATTAATATTTAATCTTGTTTGTTTTGCATAAATTTAAGATTTGCAGAAATTTAAGGAAAGATAACAAATTCGATTTTGAAATATTATCTTATTTGACAAATTAACAAATTGGAGAATATACAAAGATAATTAAAGCCACAAATTCGAAAATATTTTGAGAACAAAATGATTTTAACATTTAAAGCCAATTGCTTTCTTGTAAATATGTTCAAAGGCCAAAGTTTTTTCTGAAAGAAGGTATTTTGGTTGTCTAAAAGAGTGTAAAAAACCACCGGTGTATCAAAAATTAGTGATGGATGGATAAATATTTGATCCATTGTTTCAAACTTATTGCAATTACAACAGTATGTGACCATATATCTACTTATTGCTACTGTATTCTACGAAAAAACTTCGTGACCAACAAAAGAAACAAATGAAGTTATGGAGTAAATAACAAATTGGACATATTTTGTAGAATACATATATATATATATATATATATATCCATAGGAAATAAAACATCTCAAAACTTGGGACAAACCGTTTTTTTGTGCTGACTTTTTATATATATTGATGCTGATTACCTCGCCATCCTCAATAGCCCAATAGGAATATCTCAACCGGAGTTGAGCCCAATCAGTTCGTTTCGTTCACAAAAAGAGACGGTGAGATATTCCAAGGAAGAGAGTGCGTGAGCGAGCTTGACAATGGAAACTGGCAAAAGGTTTGTCTCTCGCCGGAAAAAACAGCTCAGCGGGACTAGTGGAATGAGGTATGTCTCTCCTCTATATTTCAATTCGCTTCCATTATCTCACCACTGACAAAAACTCTTTGCCACAATCAAGTTTTCTCCGGCTAACACCTTTATAGCACTGTGATCGCAATTTCCTTTTTTTTTTCTGAAGGAAATAAAATAAACCAATCTTGAATTCCCTAATTTCTTAGTATGGTTTGCTTTTCGTCACCAAAAAATGCCGATAACACATTAAAGACAGTCTCTTTTTTTTGGGGATTTTTGTCTAATGTGCAAATACTGTAGCAAAACTTATAGAAATTGCCACAAAACATTTGTCTTTCCAAATGTGTCATAATGGTGGACAAGGCTCTGAAACAAAAATTTTTGGTAAACAAGAAATGTTGTCCACTTTTGAAACAACAGATTGGGAAGATATTTGGTGGACAAAATTGAAACAACAGACTTTTGGTGGACAAGAATTCGAAACGACATAGAAAAATTTTGGTAGACAAGAAATGTTGTCCACCATTATAACATATTTGGCAAGATTTATGTTTTCTGGCATTTTTGCTAAGTTTTTGAACAGTAAGTGGCACATTAGTTAGATTTCTTTTTTTTTTTTAATAACAAATCAACAAAAAACACATGTCATGGTTTTGAAAATAGAATTGATTTTAGTTCGGTTTAAATTGGTTTTGAGATGTGGTTGATATATCTACTAATATTTTCTAAATTAAAAAGTAGTTGATTTTTTTAAATAAATGGAATTCTTCCAATGGGGGTGTGTCATTTGCTTTTATCTAGATTTTTAATGAATTTTTCACAAATTAGAAATGGTAGGTCAAAAAGAGAAGGGGAAAGAGAGAATTTAAATCAATTGATTAACCCTCTCACATCGATAAAATTGAAGCTGTAGATTTTTACCATGTAAACTATTTTTATTTTAAACTATATTTTTGATTATACAAAAGGGTTTCATTTCAAAGGTTTTTTCATATTTAAAATAAAATGTTTTTCACATGTTATTTTCTGATTTGAAACCCATTTTCATTTAAGTTTTCATTATATATATTTGTTTTAAAAAATCTAACGCAATATGTGAAATCAATCTACCTTTAAAGCAATTAAAAGAAAAATGAAAGCCTAAAATGAGATCCAAATTAAATTAAATTGGTGATGTCAAATAATGTTGTTTTAAATATGATGATGAACATTGTTGGTTTATATATGACAAATTTCCAAAGATTTTAATTTATTTTTAATCTAACTTATCATACAAAATTTTTAATATATATATATATATATAAGAAAACATCAAATTAGATAAAAAAATTATTGATAAATTATTTTTGACCACAACTATAAAAAATAAAAAATCAAAAACAAAGAAAATATAGTGACAAGAAAAAAACGAAATAAAAATAAAAAAAATTTAAGCAAAACATAAGAAAAACATAAGCAAAAAAATTTAGTTTTGGTATACGACGTCGTCCAATGATATAACGGTTCGACCAACTTTGAAGTTCGTGAAAATGTGTGCGTCGAATTGAAACTCGCCGTTCCAGTCCAACATGATCTTGACATTGACCAGGTTCTTCTCAGTCAATCCTTTATTATCGAATTTCGCTTTGAGGGTCTTGATAGTGTCTTCGGAGTCGGGCAAGTTTTCGGCGTCCTCCGCTTTCGAGACGCGGCCATCACGTCGACTAGTGGGAACCTCGAATAACGGGCCATTCGACAAGAAGACGGCGTCACGAGCGACGAGGGCTATTATGTCGGCGCGAGAGACCACTCCGGGGCACCACTCCTCCACCGACAACTTTTGCAACTCCGATGACAGAGAATCCACTGACTCCGACGTTTTTTTGAACAACAGTCTCATCGCTGTCGTTCCTTAATAAAATTGAGCCGTCGTAACCCTGTAAATCGTAAAAAAAAATTAATATTAGGGATTTTACTCACTTCACACAAAAAAATAGGATTTGACTCACGTGTGAAAAAAGGCTTTAACTCACGAAGAATACAAACATAAAAAAAAAAACATATGGCCTTTTACCTGGACAAAACAATCATGAAACTGTAAACGAAGCAAGGCCACAGCTTTTTTCGGATCGGACGTGACTTCCTTTCTGATAACGGCCCGAACTGCAGATTCTGCTGTTGGGCAATTCGTGGAGTAGAACCCAACTCTCAGTTGGGCCTTCGCGAAATGCAAGAAGAGAAATATAAAAAAGCTGATTAACAAACCTCTCATTTTGTTTTTTTTTTGTTTTGTTGCTTTGAGACTTTGAGACTTTGAGTGATGATAAGGGGATGGATAAAAGATGATCTATTTAAATAATGTGAAAATTACAAATTATTATTTTTTTCCAATAATTTTTTTTTTTTGGTAAGCATCTTCAATGTTGTTACGGCGAATAAAATTATGAAGTCCCATTGTAGCAAATATAACACGTCTTTGTACTGCAATATTATACCTTGGAAATTCATTTAAAACCCTCCATTTTTTCTTCCAAACTCCGAATGTTCGTTCAATAACTGATCGAAGGGATGCATGCCATCTATTAAACATCTCCTTGCTATTCTTTGGCGGTTCGCCATTGAATTTTTTGTTTAGCTCATAAGATTTTTTGTGAAGATAAATTTTGATGGACTACGATGTGTTTAGCTATAGTATATTTATAGGAGTTGATATTAGTTTAGGGTTTTAATTAATTAAATAGATAAATTGTTCAAAATAGTCAAAGATTAAGCTGATTTTGTGTACTTGAATATCTTTTATTTGATTAGGTTAAACTGAATTAGTTTAGTATTTAAATATCCTAGATTCTCTAAACAACTTAACGTAAATGATATAAATTTAATAAAAGATAAAAAAATATTTTAAAGCTTTCATCTCGTTCAATTTGTTCTTCTCCTAATTTGAGGTTGAACAATTTTCAACTAAAAAGTGCAATTTTCCAATTCTGTGGTGGGCCCCATTAAAATTGGGTTGGAAATTGTGTCATCCATTTGCACCCTTAGTCTCTTCTCTAAATAATCCAAAAGAAGTTGCTTTGCTTAGAGTCTTCACATTAACTGCTTTGTAGACGAGATTTTCCTGAAAATTTAGGGTTTTTCTTTCTGTGGTAATTTGCTATATATTTCATGGTCTCTAGAGTTATATCAACTTGATTGTTGAATTTAGTTGAGAAGCTCGATGTGGATATTACTCAAAAGATTCACATTTGCTATTTAGATTTTATATTTGTGATATTTTTCATCTCATTCAATTGTATAATCCAAAAGATTTATGTGTTTATCTCTGGTTGCAACTTGTTGTTTTGGTTAAAGTAGTTCACTTCTGGACTCTCTTCTCTAAATAATCCAAAAGAAGTTGCTTTGCTTACAATCTGTACATTTTATCCGCTTTGTTCTCTATTGTGATGATATGGTTTCAAGTCTCCAAATACCCGTTCTATTTTGCTTTAGGAACCAAGAAAGTAACCAGAAATACCAACCTATATCAGAACCTAGCTGACAAGAGGGTGATTTTCTGCGATGAGACACTGAAGCTAATCTTTGAAGGGAAAGACAAAGTTGGGTTTTTGGAGATTTCAAAACTCTTGTCCCCGTACTTTGTGAAGACTGCTTGACCAATAACTAGCTTAGTGTGGAAAATTCTGATTTGGTTTTGAGTAAGCTCTTTCGTGTGTCCTATCTTGTTAATGTTGTCACTATCTTTCCACTCTTTTCGTTCTTGTTCCCAAACATGTTTTTTAACTAATGAAGAAATGTTTTGGCGTTTTGTATGTGACTTTGAACATTTAATTTTAAAGGCAAGGGGAGGAGAATCTCCTCTTTCACCTATCAAGATCTTATCAATATTACAAAAGATTGGGAAGCATCTTGGCCCTGGAAAAGAAGAAGACGCACACGAGTTTTTAAGGTGAATCATATGGGTTATGCTTTTAGTAACTTTTATCGGTTTTTCAAAGGTCAATATTTTTGCAAAGGAGGGTTACATTGTTCTTTCATAAGAATGCCAGGTGTGCTGTTGAGACAATGCAATCTGTTTTTCTAAAAGAGGCTCATGCAGCTGGTCTGTTTGTTGAAGAAACTACTTTAGTAGGCGTTACGTTTGGTGGATATCTTTGATGTAAGTCAAATTAAGACCTAAGACTACTCTCTCAAAGAAGAGATCGTGTGTAGCACTTTAGGGTCGAATTCCACAAAGCTCTCGTGTTCACACAATAGACTAACATGATTCGAATTAAGCTAAACAAGAAATTAAGTAAACTAAAAGACAAGAAAGCAATTAAATCGAGTTTTAAATCAGATGAGAAAAACGTTAGGCTTACGGATTTCTCAGGAAATAAACTAATAGTAAATCTAGCAAATTAATTAGGATTATTTAACGAACTGTTCTAGAACTCAAATCACTAATGACTAGCTAACCACCTCTCGATGCGCTAACTAACTAATCTAATATCATTAATTCCACCTCTCGATGCGAATTCCTAGATCTAGACTAGCATTAGATTCATGTTTGATATGTTCACCTTAGTAGATAGGCCGATTCTTATTACACACCTATAAACCAGGCTCATCTAAGGTAGTTCCAGTAAGAGGTGCCCTCTCAGATAAAATACATATTATCCTAAGATCAGGTTCTAGTTAGCTACTCTATAACAAGCATTAAGAACAATCCAGATGAAGAACTCTATGGATTAATCCTAACAGGTAATCGATTTACTAGTTCATTTAAACCCCTAGTGAGAATTCCTAAACCTAACAGGCAAACTACACAGACATGGAGATTGAAACAAACAACATGTTATGAATTGAAAGCATAAAGAGATTCAATAATAGAGATGAGTTAAGAAAGATCATCTCTGGAGGAGCTCTCTCCAATTATCTCCCAAAGGGTTCAAGCTCCCAAAAAGTACAACAGAATAATAGAATGAGAGATTAAGAGATGTCTAAAACAAAACCCTAAAAATCTATATATATGTTCTTAAAAACGTGCAGAGACTTCTTTGAAAATAGGAAAAACTTCTGGGGCGAATCTGCAAATCTTCATAACTTCAATAAGACGCGAAATTCAATTGCCTTCATATCTTGGTGTCGACCGACACCAGGGGTGGTGTCGTTCGACACTTGCACGTATTTTCGTCTCCGGATTGCTCGTGCAGCATAACTTCTCGGTTTTGCTCCAGAGTGATCCATAATCTCCAAATTGGTCCCGAACGTGTAAAAACGTGAAAAGACTCAAAAATACTCTAGAAACAACAAAAAGTCTCTAAAAACAATACATATATCACGGCTAAAATCGGTAAAATACGTGATGTATCAACTCCTCCAGACTTAGCTTTTGCTTGCCCTCAAGCAAAACACAAAAACCGAACCCGTGGAAGAAGTTTAAAAACACAGAAACTCCCAATTTCTCTAGCCTATTACCTTGATCATTCAAACCAAATCCAAATGCCTAGCAGATCGCATCAAATCCTAACCACAATGTAATTCTCCGCGAGCATTCTTAACATTCCAAATTCCAAACCAAATTCCACAACTATATCCTATAGCCCTCATCGCATAAATCTCATCAATAAAATCAGTACTCAAGAACCTTCTAGACTCATTCCCATACTATACCATGATAAATCAACCTTTTTCAATATTTCCTTGGTACTCTTTCTCTCCCCCAGACTTATTCTTTCTCAAACCATTTTTTTTTTTTTGAGCTTCAAAGTTGTACGCGAATAATGGTATCATCGGAAATTTTCCTAACCTCGCTTCCAATCTTCGTGTGATCAATCCTCTTGAAGTAAAATAATGAGATCACGGGAAATTTTCCTATCTCTTTACTCCAAAAGAAAATCATCTCAATCTTTTTTTTTTTTTAGAAAAGGGAGAGGAGCACCATTCTTTTTCCACATTGGTCTCATTTATCAGGTATGAACGAGGAGTCAAGTTCTACGAATACTAACCGTATTAACGAGGTGAAGAGCATGAACTTTGCTCAGGCTTTAGCGGATTGTGTTGGAAACGTGGATGTCCTCTGGTCTATTGATTAACTCTCTGGATTTTCCATTAGTCGGATTGAATTGAATCTGCAGCATTAAACTAACCAGGCAATATTCTAGAGAAAAAGATCATAATTTCCAACTAAATTTTGACTCAATAAAACGACTCAAAAGAAAAAGAAAATAAGAATAAGACTCAAAAAGAAAAACGTAGTTAGTAACTGCCTCACCCAGACTTAAACGACACTGTCCCCAGTGGCATTCAAACCCGAAGTTAGCAAAAATAAAAATAAAGAAAAAAGAAAACTAAAAATAAAAAATAAAAGAAAAACGAAATCATACCAGTGGGTTGCCTCCCACTAAGCGCTTATTTTCAGTCATTAGCTTGACTATATCGGGTTCAGATGTCAGGTGGATCAGATGGTTGCAGCAAGTACTTCCCAGAAAAACGTCTCATCATCCATGGTGGTGTGTAAGCAGTTGGTGTGTGAGGACGACCAATGAAGTGAGGAATATCAGCAGGGTGGGACGTAGGTATGGGTGGTATACTCTTTTTTCCTGCACAATCATCAAAATAACGAACAAGCGCTTGACAAGAAACTCGTGGCTTGCTTAACTGTGAAACAGTCTTGAAAAATTTGAAAGTCTTATTGATGAAATCGGGAGGTTTAGGTGGAGAAAGTGAGTACCTCAGCTGTTTAGGAGGAGGATGGAATGAGAGAGGCACATTGGTAACAGTTCCCGGACTTGCAGCAATGATTCCAGCCCGAAAAACAACTTTGTTAGAGAACTGTGGTTCTGCCCGTGTACGGTGTCGACCGACACAGATGGTGTCGATCGAAACCAATGCAGTTTGTCGACGCTTTGTGTCAACTGCGAGATGGTGTGGTCAACATTGGTCCATCTCGTCGAGTCTGGTGTCGACCGACACCCTGGTGGTGTCGATCGACACTAAGTCTGCAGCTCGAATTTCTGCACTGATTCTGCAATCTAGCTCAGCAATCTGTGTCTCCATCAGAAAAACATCATCCTGTAGCAGCTTATCACTGATTTGTACCTCATCCTGGAGCTTAGTGTTGAACAGATGGTCACCAGTCCAATCTTCAAGCTTAGCAGCTTTCAAAGTCACTTGCTCAACAGAACCCAACTCCTTGACATACCCAACAGTAATGTATGTGGAGGTCTCTACAGAAAATGCTTGACCATCAATGGTGGGTGGCTTCCTCAGCTTGTCCATATCGAAATTCATAACCACGTCACACACATGTAGAGAAATTCGGCCTTGCTTTACATCAATCTGAGCACTAGCAGTAGCTAAGAACGATCTTCCCAAAATAAGAGGATCTGGAGGTTCTTCTTCATATGCTAATACCACAAAATCAGCCGGAATTAAGCATTCACCAATCTGAACCGGAACATCTGCTAAGATACCCTCATGGATTCTCTTTGAACAATCAGCCATGAGAAGAGTAATCCTGGTAGGCCTGTAATCAGTCATCCCAAGTCTTAAAGCAACAGAATGAGGAATCAAGTTGATGCAAGAGCCAAGATCACAAAGACAGTGAGAAAATCGTCCTGTAGATATAGAGCAAGCTAGCACAGAGCTGCCTGGATCAGATAGCTTCTCAAGGATCCTACTCTTAATCATGGCACTGACCTGTTCTGATACAACCAATGTCTTCTTCTTTTCATTCTGCTTCTGTGGAGCTTCACACAGTATAAGAGCACGTTGAAGCGGTGGTGACAACTTGTCTATATCAACCGGAGGCAACTCAAGTAGAATCTTATCCATGATACCCTTGCAACATTCCGCCTGGATCTCCTACTTGAACTATCGAGGTATTGAACAAGGAACTTGAGGCATGTAGACTTGTTCAGCAACAGGTGGAAACTCAAGTCTGATTGGTGTAGTCCGCGTCTAGTGTCGGTCGATAGTACTGTCTGGCGTCGACTCTTCTGTGTCGAGCTCGCTCAATTCTGCTGTTGTTTCGGAGGGGTGTCTTTCGACACCCAAGTGGTCTCGGTCGACACTAAGAGTACGTGTCGAGTGATCTTGTAAATCAGTGTCGAACCAGGTCGATTTTACTTCGTCACAGTTTGATTTTTCAAATTTCTGAACTGGTGTCAGTCGACACCAATTGGTGTCGTTCGACACTGCCTCTGTAACCACAAAATCAGCTTCGCTCTCCGTAACGTCCACGAGATCAACATCGCTTTCCATCAAAACAGTATGACAAGCAGTCATGAGGGGCATCTCTGAGATCGTTTGTTGAAGTCCACTCCTCAACTGAACTGCACAATCATCTACGTTGGAAGATGTTATATTGTTAAGCTGAATACTCATGTTGTTAACCTTACTATTCAAAGCAGAAATTCTGGTAAATATTTCTTCGAGCATGGCTTCGATATTGCAGGTAGACGGTGGAGTTGGGGTGGTACTGTGGGCGGGATGCTGGATGCTCTGGCATGAAGTGCTGACAGAATGGATCTCGGACTGTTCCAGTTTCTTGTAGTCAACTTTGGCGGCAAGCTGTCTTCTCTTGTTATCAATGCCTCTGATGCCATAGCTGGAAGCAGAATTCTCAATAAGACTTGTTACTTAGCTGGGTGTCCTTGTGGTGAAATTTTCCATTGCTTGCTCCATCGAGTATGACTTGGTAACGATAATCAATGCCCTTGAAGAATATGCCAAGTAGACGAACTTCAGTGAATCCATGATGCGGACAATTCCTCTGATATGATCCAAATCTTAACCAAGCTGCTTTGAAAGACTCTGTAGGACCTTGAGAAAAGGAAGAAATCTACACTCTCACTTCCTCGGATATTGATTCATCATAAAAGTGGATTAAGAATGCATCCTTAACTTCCTGCCAAGTAGTTAGAGATCCGGGTCTCAATTGTCTAAGCCAGATAGTTCCTCTTTCTCCAAGAGAGTATGGAAAGAGTTTGCAGAGCAAGTAGTCAGGTGGAACGCCTTCTGCTTTGATGCTGGAAACCATGTCTTCAAATTTCTCGATGTGATCCAAAGGAAATTGACCTTCTAAACCGTCGAACTAGTTATGAGAAACGAGATCATAATACCATGGTTTGAACGCAAAATCAGCTCTTGCAGGTGGAGGTGGTCTGATCGCTGATCGATTGGAGTAGAAGGGATCGGGTCTGTTGTAATCAGCACACATCATTGGCCTGTTGCCCGTGTGGTGTCGATCGATACCCAGGTGGTGTCGGTCGACACTCTCGTCGAGATCGTCCATCTGGTTGGTGTGATTGAATTCCTTAAGTCCCTGAAACACAAGAAACAAAAGAAATAAAAACATGTGAGTAACTAAAGAAAATAAAAGCTTAGACTAAATTCTACACCTAATCTAATGGTGAAGCGAAGAGAACTTCGGCAACGGCGCCAAATTTGATGTAAGTCAAATTAAGACCTAAGACTACTCTCTCAACTAAGAGATCGTGTGTAGCACTTTAGGGTCGAATTCCACAAAGCTCTCATGTTCACACAATAGACTAACAGGGTTCGAATTAAGCTAAACAAGAAATTAAGTAAACTAAAAGACAAGAAAGCAATTAAATCGAGTTTTAAATCAGATGAGAAAAACGTTAGGCTTAGGGATTTCTCAGAAAATAAACTAATAGTAAATCTAGCAAATTAATTAGGATTATTTAACGAACCGTTCTAGAACTCAAATCACTAATGACTAGCTAACCACCTCTCGATGCGCTAACTAACTAATCTAGTATCAGTAATTCCACCTCTCGATGCGAATTCCTAGATCTAGACTAGCATTAAATTCATGTTTGATATGTTCACCTTAGTAGATAGGCTGATTCTTATTACACACCTATAAACCAGGCTCATCTAAGGTAGTTCCAGTAACAGGTGCCCTCTCGGATCAAATAACTATTATCCTAAGATCAGGTTCTAATTAGCTACTCTAGAACAAGCATTAAGAACAACCTAGATGAAGAACTCTATGGATTAATCCTAACAGGTAATCGATTTACTAGTTCATTTAAACCCCTAGTGAGAATCCCTAAACCTAACAGGCAAACTACACATACATGGAGATTGAAACAAACAACATGTTATGAATTGAAAGCATAAAGAGATTCAATAATAGAGATGAGTTAAGAAAGATCTTCTCTGGAGGAGCTCTCTCCAATTATCTCCCAAAGGGTTCAAGCTCCCAAAAAGTACAACAGAATAATAGAATGAGAGATTAAGAGATGTCTAAAACAAAACCCTAAAAATATATATATATATATATATATATATGTTCTTAAAAACGTGAAGTGACTTCTTTGAAAATAAGGAAAACTTCTGGGGCGAATCTGCAAATCTTCATAACTTCAATAAGACGCGAAATAATTAAATTGCCGTCAGATCTTGGTATCGATCGACACTAGGGGTGGTGTCATTCGACACTTGCACGTATTTTCGTCTCCGGATTGCTCGCACAGCATAACTTCTCGGTTTTGCTCCAGAATGATCCATAATCTCCAAATTGGTCCCGAACGTGTAAAAACCTGAAAAGACTCAAAAATACTCTAGAAACAACAAAAAGACTCTAAAACCAATACATATATCACGGCTAAAATCGGTAAAATACGTGATATATCAATCTTCACTCCAAGAAATGGAATGTCTTTTAGCTAAGATCATTTTGCTGGCTTTAATTAGCATGTCGGTTGTTTTTAACCTAGTTTAAGAAAATAGAGAATGAGCCCAATTAAAAGATTAATGGGCCTGATTAAATGGGCACTATATCCAATTAAAGTATGCAAACAAAAATGTATCGTTTTAAATCACACACAAATTCACAGAGTTTTCAGTGAAGTTCGCCGTCACCGGAACTCATGGATCGGCCACCGTCGTTTCCACACTATCATATCCCTAATCCGATAGTCTTCCACCACGTTCCTCCTCCAAATCCTAATCCTAATTTCTTCTTCCGACCTCCTGTAGCTCATCTTCAAAATCCTAACAATTACTCCACCCACCGCTCCATCTCCGCTGCCGATTCGCGAGCTCCTCGGAAAATCCCTGTTATCGGAAAGTCAGAGAACCTTAGATTCTATGTCAAAAAATCTATCTTTAGATCACTCTTCTATTCTCCAGAAGGACGAAAATGGCGGTTTTGGTTCGTTGCCTTTTTGATTCAAATCATTTTATGCTACCTGAAGCTCTCTTTCTCCATTCACTTGGTTGCCCAAATCCTCTTGGCCTCACTCATTCACTTCGTTACCGGAGCACACTCGAGTTACCATGTTGTGAACTACAGTTGAATAATGTAGCAGCCATCAATCAAAAAGCTCAATTCGACGGTGGGTGGTGAGCTATTCGGCCCTAAAGAAAGAATTGCGTCGTGATGAGGTATGATAGAACCGGATTTGGTTCTATCAAGAAAAGTAACAGAAAGTAGATAAGAAGTGGAAGAACAGAGTTAAGATGAGAAGAGAATTGGAGAAGAAAGAAGAAATTAGACTTTCGTCATTGTTGTTGATCGTTTTCGATGATTGTTTACAGAGAAGAAGAAAAGCTTAAGTACAAGAAAATAAAGAGGAAATGGGCTTTAAACACTAAACCCAAGTCAAAGCCCACAAAGGCTCACTAATCTTCATTTCGGTTTGTATCAATACTCCCCTCGTGAAAAACTCACCTTGTCCTCAAGGTGGAAAGAAGTCAAATTTGGGGAAGTTGGTCTTAGCTTCAGTCAATCCAGAACCTGCAATTTTGGTCTTGTCTGTGAAAATCGAATTAAGCTCCTTAAGCGTCACTTCCGACTGTCTCCATTTTCTTTTATCAAAGTTCTTCTTGTCACCAATCTCTTCAACTTGCAATCCCATAACAGCCAAGTATTCTAGTGATAACACTAGCTTTGAAACAACTGGTTTAAGGGAACAACTCCATAAGTCCCAACGATTCAACAGTCTTTACCCTTTTGGATATGTCTACCTCTACCTCTTGGGCTTGTTTATTTGGCATCTTAAGAAGACAAAACCTAGTTTTGTTCTTCTTACTGATCAAAATGATTCGAGGAGTTTCCGCAACAACCTCATTTGACTTCAGAACTTTTTTAGACCATGTTACGACATCTGTGTTGTGATCTTGGCCATCATGTAGTCTTTCTTGGATCTCCTGCAGTCAGGTCTCGTGATGTTTATGTTGCTCAGGTTATTGGGGATCAGCTTCTTATGTAACTCGCCAACCTCCTTGTAGTCATAGAAAAGAGCCCATAAATGGCCAGGCTCATTATTTTTCCCATGGTTCCCAAAATTTGCAAAGCCATTGTCCTTTGGAGCTTTCTTTGGATATTTTGTGCTTAGCTTCATCCTTGACTTTTGATAATAAGCTTTTACGATCAATTAATCCTAAAACACTATCGTGTCGTTGTAGTATTTTAGGTGTCAATCCAATCAGGTGTGATGCAAACAAATGAGATATTATCAGAAAGCACTAAGTCAAGCCAAGCAGAAATGGGTTGTTTTTCTAACAGTCCTAGTGATTGATGCAGAAATGGACTGCTATACTCGATCGCACAGTCTCACTGCCAAAAGGGAGGGTGTGATCGAGTAAACCAGTGGTAACAAAGAAAAATTGTTAAAAAACTTAAGCAGCAGGTAACAAAGCAGAAGCAAGTAAGTAGACAGATAAATCAATTGGACAAGAAACTCCTAAGGATGGGGTAATCGAATAGTGTGGATTCCTTAATCAATTTAGATGGTTAACGATTCTCAATGAAGCTATCCCTAAACAACAGGTTCAACAACAGATCAATTCACTTCCGTGACAGAAACCCTCAAGCAAAACTAGCCCAGACTAATTCCCATTAACGGAATCTAACTATGCAGGCAATAAGAACCGACTGTTAAAGTCAATAACCGCTCTAAACGGCCAATCCCTTGGGATAGAGACGATTATCACTAGAATTAGTAGATCAAGCATTCCATCGAACACCTTCTGGGTGCGGGAATGCTTTTGATCGAATTCCAGTTGATCAGAAAGGAATATGCAGTAAACACAACTAATCCACAAGGAATTCAATAAAACTACACTTAACCATCAGAATCGACTAAGGATCTCACATCTACTCTATCCCATCCTCAGAAATCCTAGTCACTACTCAGACAACATGCTCAAAGACATAGAAACGATTGATGATTGCATAACTTCAAAGATTAAAGGAAAATGAAACAGAAATGAACAAGGAAATGAACGCAAAAACTCAATAACTTAGAAGAAACGAAAATACAAAGTTTCAGAAGCAAAAGCGGCCCTGAATTCAGAAAACGATACTAGGTTACTAAGTCTCAGTGCGAGTCTAAAAACGTGCGAGTCTAAAAACGTCAGTGTCTCCGAGGAAACCCTTAGAGACTTATTTATAACAAAAACGACAAAGATAAGTAAGTAGGCTTCGAGTCCGCTTAACAGGCCCATGGATAATGGAGGTCGAGTATATGGGCTCAAAGTGGGCTTCATGGTCGAGCGTGAATCAAAGCTACGATCAAGTGGTTCCTTCTCTCCTCTTCTCTTTCCTATGCTCAGGTTTTCTGGTTGAGTGCGGATTGATCAGAGGGTCGAGGTGGTGATCGAGTAGAATGGTTGATGGCATGATCTGGACTGCTTCTTCTCTCTTGTGATCGAGTAGTTTGGTAGACTGTCAGGATGGAGCTTCTTCTCTTCTCTGTGATCGAGTATAACAGTCTGGATGGACTGCTTCTCCTCCTCTGTGATCGAGTATAAGGGTAGTCTGTCAGGATGAACTACCTTCTCTTCCCTGTGATCGAGTATAAGGGTAGACTGGATGGCCTGCTGAGCTGACTGTTTCCCTTTCTGCTACTGGTGATCGAGTAGAACAGTCCTGATGATCTGTTGAGCTGACTGCTTCCCTCTCTTCTACTGGTGATCGAGTAGAATGGTCCAAATGTGACTTTCAGCTCTGTTTTTTCCTCTTTCTGAACACCAATAGCACCTGAAACAACTCCAGAATGCAAAATGCATGCAAGACTAATGCTAGACACACTTAAACATGCAAAATGTGCGAAATGATGATGAATGCTATGAAAGATGAATGAAGTTAGACTCAAAATGATGATAAATTGATGTATAAAACATGCAAATTATAGACATATCAACTCCCCCAAACTTAGTCTTTGCTTGCCCTCAAGAAAACAAGTAAACATAAGATGAAGGAGAGGTTTGAAGGTGGGGATTCATAACCAAAGCATCAGATAAAATAGATAAAATCAAGGTCCAAGTTAGTAGTTCTAGGATGCGATATGATCTATCTCTACTCAAAAATGTTAGCCATGCCTTGTAATAATTCAATCCGACTCTTGTACTCGACCTACACATGCTTTCAAATCGACCAATCCCTTTAACATTCATTAGTTTCAGAACGTGAATCAAGCAATGCACCATCAATGAACTCATTTGGCTAAGGTTAAGGTTAGATGACAAAGATAGTCCCTTTAAGGTGGTTCAAGTTTAGTAACAGGGGACTCTCAAAAGAAATGGACTGAGCTTTAGGAGAATGCTAAAGGTAAGAGCCAACCTATGCATACAAGAATAGTATCTCATCTACCCAATAACATAAACCGTGTATACACCAGCAGATGGTACTACCCTCAAGCCCAGAAGTTGATCCTAGTTCTACCCTTTGCACTCAAGACATTTTTTTTCTGTCATTCTTTTCTTGGATCAAGCCACTCTTCCTTTTCTCTGAGTCTATTCTAAGGAGAAGTTTTCTTTTACTTTAATGGGTCTGGTGGATTTTGGTTTTCTTTGACAATTATGGCTCTTGTTATCTTCTTATGATAAAGACTTCTCTCGACTTTTGTTTTCTTTTATTACAGAGCCTATCTATTCGACTTTTTAATTCCCCAAAATCCATTACTAGACTAACTTGTTTTTCAACTTCCTTCTCCTAAAAACATCAACCTTCTCATTCTTTTACTCATATACTCGATCCCCACCCAAAAATAGACTCCCACCTAGTTCTATCTAGTCCTGAAAACATGGACTAGAACTACATGAGACACTACTCTTGTCGGTTCAAACCTAACACTTTCTACCAAGCTCAATCCTGAAACAGGCCTCACAATCACACAAGAGATATAACAGGGCTTAAAAGAAAGGTTTGGTTAACGTCTAGGGAAACTGCTCCTATGGTGGAAGCAGCTACTTGGGTTAGCAAGGATGGTGAAAAGTTGAAAGAAAACCCAAGTATGTATATGGTATCCATGAGTTCAAATTTGATGCTAAGACATGATAATTGTAAATCAGATTCAGGTTCAAATTGATAGGGAATGGTATCAAATCATGATAGTGTGATCGAGTAGAGCATTCAAGACATGGTGCAGTTTTTCTTCAATTTCATTGACTACGCATCAGACAACTAGCAACGAGGGCATTGACTATATCTACCGAACTAACATGCTTACAAGGCTATCTCATCATAATCCCCTATGCATATGCAACAATCCTATATGAAAACATACTAGACTCGATCCTAAATGTGATGCAACTAGATGAACACTCTGTTTTTGTGGAATACATTTTCAGAAATTTTTCAAACTAGATTATGTACCCGCGCGTTGCGCGGAATTTTAGTTTTAATTTTTTATAAATGCGAATCTTTGAATATAAATCTTAAAAATTAAACTTTAATTTTTTTTTTACTTTATCCATATGCATTATCTTTCTAAAGTAGTAAAAATATTCTCTCACTTTTCACTACAATTTTTCTCGTTATCTTCTATGATTCACTCATCGTCTCCCGATATCGACTCTTTTTCACCTTATATTGACTCACATAGAATATACTCAATTGTGAATTAGTTCTCAAGATAGATTGTATAGATTTTCTCCTTCCTATCTTTGAATACTCAATTCTATTTTAAACGTTGCATGATCTTTTTACTAAAGTAAACATCAAAAAATTTAAGAAAATATTTTGTCAAAAGGTTTCTTTAGCCATGTTTTGGTGCATGTAAAATTGTTTTCTAAACAACAAATTTCATATATAAACTCATTCTTATATATTCACAAACATCGGATTTGAACATCAATTTTTTTTTCACTTTATCTTGATTGTTTGAAAAATACAAAATTCTCTGTTCTAAAATATGTAAATTAAGAAATCATAAAAATTATTCTAGTTTTTAAATACGTTTATTTTTTATAAAAAATCATTCTTATTTCTAATTAATAAATAGCATTCTCAAATATTATTATTAGAAAGTTTTAATATTCGATTAAATTATTTTATTTTTATTTGTGCTGTTTAGGATAGTTTTTTGTTTTGTTTCAAATCACCTTCATTTTTTCAATCTATGTTAATTTTCTAAACACACATTCATAATTATTTTTTCTTTCTTAGGTATTCATTTTTTATATAAAAAAATGTCCACTTTTTAATTGAGAAAACTTTAATAATATAGACAAATTTATTAATTTAACTATTTATATTATATTATAATTATAAATGATAATATGTATTCATTCCTTCTTATTTTTTAATTGGTATCATGAATTGATACTTTAAACTTAACAAATATATTCTCAAATTCTAAATGTGTATTTTTTAAAAATGAAGTACTTTTTTAGTTAGGACCTTTAAATTTGGTATTTTTTAACTCTTATTTTTTAATTCAACTAAATAATTATAACTCTTAAAAGTGATTGTTGTATA